ACACACACTCACACACATTAGATGATGCAAGGATTAATTTCAGCCCTTGAAAAAAAACGAATAAAATTTTCAAAAATAGCGAAATTTGGTGGTGTTGAAACGAAATCAAGAAATGTCGAGAGGGTTAAAAAGTGATTGGACAATGCCAATTCTCTCATGTGGTAGACAAGAAACACACCTGATAAACAGAAGAGACAGTCAGTTGTACAAGTTTCGAAGAAGCTACTAGAGAGCAAAAGAAAAATGATTGGATTTCCATCAATTCACACATCGTCAGGTGTAAGAATTGAAGAAGAACACGGAACTGCAAAGGGAAACATGGTCCAGCCTTGTATACGCCTGTGTTTGCGAGAGACGGAATGTTGTTTAGCCGTGTTGCCTTTCACGGGCCTATTGTTTAGGGAGTTTGGCGCGTTGTTTTCATACGGCTCTGCCATTCCTTTATGCACGTGCCTCTCTGGTGTGGGCTCCTGTTGCTCATGGCTACTTTTTGCCCTTGAACCATCTGAGTTCCAGCGAGAACATTAATTTTTTTCTGCCCTTGATTTTTGATGAAATACATTGAATCTTGCTGTTTTACTAGTTAGGATCATTTCACGATAGAATATTGCAGTAAACATTGTGGCCTGTTTGCAGAAGTACCCAAAAAAGCACAGAAGATAAAGTGACCTTTTCAGGTTGATCAATTCCATTTTATACATACCTGAGGAAAAACAAACCTAGAAGGATTATAATGGCGTTGCATTTTTTCAAAAATTTAGAGACTTTATATTGATTACAGAGACCATGTTTTCACAGTTTGCCCTTCTGGTTCACGGGAAAAATGAAACGAAAAGATGCGCAGGTTCCCCAATAATAACTTGAAGACCTTTAACAGATGGGGGGCGGGAAAAGACCAGAATGATACATGTATAGGTTTTTAGAGCATACACGCTGAAAAATGAGAGACGAATCATGTCGGCCAGTGTTCGTTTCAGATCTAGCATGGAGGAGGAGGAGGAGGAGGAGGA